TGTTTATGGTTGGGATTGGAAGGAGGTGTTCAGGCTTGGACACCTCTTTCAGATGACTTTAGGATTTAGTTAAAATAGATAGTTAGGATGTGACATAACTATATAACTTCTTATATTCTACCTTTATGATTGTTCTGTTAAGTTTTAATCCTCTTTTAGACTAAAAGGGGAATTGTAGGGGAAGCTGTAGCCATGCCTACTTAGGGGCTGGCTACAGATGTGCCTGACCACACTTTCGAGGGCGTGGTCAGGATGACATAGAGTGACTGCGTTTTCTCTTTCGGTTTCACTTTGGTACTTGCTGGACAGACTGCTGCCACGCCGGCTGGCTAGGTTGCTCTGTAAGTAAGGCTTTTCCCTATTAAATACCCTTATATTTCTACCTGACTCCGTATTGGTAATTTCCCACCATATGAAGGTTTGTTTTTTGTTTTTTGGTTTTTTTTTTCCTTGATCACCCCATGTATTAGTTACTTTCTCTTTGCTGTGACAAAAGCAACTTAAGGAAGAGTTTGAGGATACAGCCCATCGTAGCAGGGAAAGCACAGCAGCAGCAGGGGCGTAAGGCAGAAGCTCACGCTGCAATTGCAGTCAGGAAGCAGAGTGATCATGCCAATGTCTAACTCACTTTCTCCTTTAGAGTCTGTCCAGGACCCCGGTCCTTGGGACAGTGCCACCCACAGCTAGTGTAGGTCTTCCATCTCAGTTAACCCAATGTAGAAACTCCCTTCTGACATGTCAGAGGTTAGTCTCCTCAGCTTGGCTCCCGACAAGTTGACAGTCAGCATTAACCGTCATACCCTTCTTCTCACCCTCTCCACCTGGATCACTTGTGGAGCCTTCAAGGTGCAAGGCACGGTTTGGGTGAATCTGTCTCTCCCCTCACCCTCTCAGCCCTGTGTTTCTACTTCAGTTCACAGTTGGCTACCCTCTGCAGATGATAGCAGTGTGGCTTTGACCATGTCGTATAACCTCTCTCTGCCCCATTTTAATGTCTGTTATTAAAACTCTGACAGTACAACACACTGAGTTTTTGAGAAGACTGAATGAGACAGAACTTAGCAATTGTTCCCTAACCTTTCTGTCATTACAGTGATCCTGGCAGGGGCCGCTCCTTGCTGCTTGGTTGTATGTGTCCCCTCTACTCTGAAAACTCACTATGGGGAGGACAGGACCACAGGTGGTTTGTCCGTGTGTTTGCAGGACCAGTCTGAGGACTTGTGACCCTGAGGACCATACACTCTGTCTTTGATTAATGACCGAGTACCTGCTATATGCCAGGCCTGGTAAAAGACTCTGGGTTAGGATAAACAAGAAGGTCAAAGAGCTGCAGAGGCAAGGCAGATACAGACTTGGCCGTGAAGAGTACCACAGAGGTTTGCAGACACTGGGCTGAGGGCCTGTGAGTCCAGCCAGGCTGGAAGGGGGAAGCTGCACAGCTTTGTTCTCAGGCTGCATTCAGTAAACCTTGGGGATCAGCATTTCAATCCAGTCATAGCCAGAGGACATGAATTTAGTTCTCCCTTTTGACCCTCACAAAATGGCACATGCCTTTAATCCCAGGCAGAGGCAGGCAGATCTCTGAATTTGAGGCCAGCCTGATCTACAGAATGATTGCCAAGATAGCCACAAAGAGAAACCCTGTCTCAGAAAGAAAAATAAAATGAAATAAAATAAAATAAAAGAATGAGGGTACGGTTCCTTTGGAAAATCCCACTACAATCAAGCCTAGGCCCATATCCTCACTTCTCAAGGAAGACCCTCATCTACCGCCCTGCCCAGTCTTGCAAGGTAAGGACTTCCGGACAACACCAATTCATTCATTGGGCTCCAAGGTATTTTTAGCTCTGGGCAGCCAAGCCTGGTGGGTGACTGGCAGCAGGCACAGCCTTCCATGTTGCTCCTGGCTCAGCATTAGAGGTGGCTGGGCAGAGGGTGGGGGCCCACGCATACCTGGTATCCTGGTCCACAGCTGCTTCATTGTCCCTGGGGGAGGAGCCAGGTTGCTGCCTCTGCCACTGACCCGAGGCTGGTAGCATTCTTTCCTGTTGATTCATCCCAGGGAATGTTTTGGGCCCAGGTCGGGTGGGGCAGGGCCACTGGGGGGACAACTGAGACATGAGCAGCCAGGGGTGGACCCAGGTCTCTGGAAACAGTGTAAAAGGGTGACCTGGCAGACTTGTGTCATCCTGGCCCTCATTACCTTCTGCCTTGAGGTCACGTTTATTTGTGCATCCTCCCTCTCCAGACTGGGACAGCCCCCTGCCAGTGTCTAGCACTCCGGCCCCCTTTCTAGCACATAGGAGAAAATTAACAGAGGATCCCGGATGAAGGAGCCCTTACAGGGACACCTGGCAAGCCACTGATTGCTCTGGGACTAGATGAGAAGAGGAAATCTTTTGTCCATTTCACAAGTGAAGGAGTTGATGGCACTGAGACTGGGAAGTCTGAGGCCTGGAGCCTGGGAGCTACTTCAGCTAGGGACTCCCTTTCCCATGCCTTCCCTCCCTTGATATATTCCAAAGCCTCTCCCTCCTCACTATCCACCGTTGCTTCTCCATCCCCCAACCCCTTAAGCCTGACAAGGACCAAGTCGTAGGTTCTCCCCGTCTGTCTCCTGGGACAGAACTTCACAATGAAGAGCACAGCTTTGCTCTCAGGCTGCATTCAGTAAACCTTGGGGTCCAAGTGACAGAGAGGCTACCCCTGTTACTCAAGCATCAGTACCCTACCACTGAATAGGACCTTCATCCCAACAGGTAGCCTGCACTGTCCTGCATAAGCAGCCCACAGGATCCAGACCTAGGACTGCGGGGCGCTCAGAGCCACGAGGTCAATGAGACACAGCCTTGATCGCCCGTTAGACAGAGGAGGAAACCGCGCCTGCACAGGGATTCGCAGATCCGATCCTCGCCCCCACCGCGCCTCTCCCGGGACTCCATCAGCCCCCGGGCTCCCCACAGCGCCCGGGACTTCCCGGCTTGGCCCTGTCCCGAGCT